TTTGTCATGGGAGAGGGGGATATGAATTTATCCAGTAGCCCCGCTTTTAAAGCTAGAGGCCCTAAATTATAAGGAATCCGAAAAATGTTGCATATTATATACAGCCTATTAGGGGGGATTTATCCAATTGATCCCCTCGTAAATACTCCACTGCAGTAGTAGTGGAGTACACGTGTACTAGTCATTAACTAATAACACGAAAATAATTAAATAAGGGAGATAATGAATGAATATTTAGGTACCTACTACCAATAGTAAAATAATACTAACATTTATGTAGGTAATATGTATGTATCTACCGCAGACCGCGTGATCAAAATCAACATACAAATATTTTGAAATGTTATGGTAGGTATACGTATACCTATTATAATATTATATAGACTAAGGCTAAATTTATACAATGAACAATTAAATAGTGCTATTCAGCAAATCGCAATTTTTCGTTTGCGTTCGATATATTAAATAGCTAAATGTTATATAATACATATATTATAGATATTATGTACTAGGCCTGCAGTGTGTTCAACTAAATATAATATATAGATACACCCGATTTTCGGTGCCCATACACAATCGTAAATAGTTGCGTGTGTATTATTTTACTAGGTGGGTATTATAATTTATTGTGTAGGCGTATTGTAATATACCAACTGTATAATGTATATATATATTATATATATATATACACTTCGGTTTGCGACCTACTTGTGTACCTGCAGTGGAATTGGAACGTATATATAGGTACAATGTATAATATGTATAGGTCTGTTATATATTTGTGGTAGCGGTAGTTTGCTATATTATTGTACTAGCTATTATGCTAGCCATCAAAATCATTTTTTTTTTTTATTAATCGACAGCAGTTTGAAAATAAAATATTGTACACTCTTTGAAATCATAGGCGTGCGCAGACCTTGCTGGCAGGGGGGGCAGAATGTAATAATGTACCTATAGGTATATTATATAATATATAGGTAAGTAAATATTATTTTGGTTATTAGTTCAATTAATGTAAGTGATGGAAGTATTTTCATTTTATGTATCATTAAAACTACAAATAACTACAAATTTAATATAGTAATTGAAACTCCAAAGTTTTTTTATATTATATTAATAATATACATGAACAAAGAAAATTATTACATTCATACAGTGGTGGATCCAGGGGGATGGCAAAGGGGGCATTTGCCCCCCCCCCCCAATAACCGTAGTTTTCCTTTGTTTTACACTGTGTTTAGCCAATTTTGGAACTTTCATATACTTTTGAGCCCCCCATGCCCCTCCCAAAATTAAGCCCTGGATCCGCCACTGCATTCATATATATTTTTATGCCCGATGTGTTGGTGAAATCTGAATTTACTAATTCTACTTACTTTTTATTTACAATTACAAAAAAAGTAAGTAAGATAGGTAAATTATTATTTGCACCAACACGTTGAACATATTATAAATATCAACATTTAAAAAAAAATTTAAATCCTTAGTATTGCATTTACATGATTTTTCCAAAAATAGTACCACTATTATATCATGCATTAATGTATCAATAATATTCTATTCTTTGGTAATATTGAAATTTATACATTATTGTAGGCATGTAACCTATTATTTAAACTGTTTTATAAATTATACTTTATAGGTATTTAATAGTATTAGGTATATAATAAACAATTTGATTTGTAGGTTACAGTATAAATAGAAAATTAATTTCAATATAAAACACCACATTAAAAAAAAAGATAGGTATATTCTGATTTAATCAACACGTTGAGCATAAAAATACTAAAATACTAAAAATTCCGAAAATTGCTTCGGAAGTAAAGAGCTATAATATTTGTTCGTATACTGCATACTAATTATTATAATTATTAATTACTAATTATTTAAAGAACCGACCTTCTTAGCGCTTCCGGTGAACGTTTTTCGCATTAAATGCCGTCAAATTACTACTCACTTTCATGTCTCATCACATCTCAATCTACATCATGCTATAATAAGATTATAAGCACTCGTTATCACCGCGGTATCGCTTGTGGTTCGCTTAAAGTTGGACAACATAAAATCATCGTGCACTGTACATCGAGCACTCAATGTTTACATAATATTCATTATATAAAACTGTATTATAATATTTTTTTAAAAACTTTGTTATTTTGTAAGAAAACTTGAGCCCGCAGGAGGGGCAGCTGCCCACCCTGCCCCTCCCGTGCGCACGCCTATGTTTGAAATATATAATATTATACCTACCTATATTTGGTGAATTTTGGTACTGATGATCAAGCCATTATTATTAAACTTGAATATTCGCTTTTTCTCATTCGCGGTTTTAGTCTAAATTTAATTTTTGCACTCCATATTATTGGCTTCTGGATTTAAAAACGAACCTACAACTTCCTGAAAAGTACCTAATAATTTTATATTATTTAAACTCATTTGGGCATGGCCACTGCATATACCTATAGCCTATAGGTATACATTTATGCAGGAAGATTAAAAACACATCGTATATGTACGATCTACATTGTACCATTTGTACATGACGTATTTTTAATACAAAATTAGTAATTACAATATATTACTGATAACATTTCAATTTGTCTAGAATATAGTCGATACTCGAAAGTACCTAGTTTTATTTTTATAAATTTCCAATTTTGAATCGAAAGCGACTGTTATTACAATTTATTATATTATAATATGCAGTGGGAGTCGCGATAACTCGAAAACTTGAAACTTGAATTGTGTTTTATTCCCCTAGAAAAATGTTCCCCTATAAATTAGTTAGATATCTCGAATAATACATATCTCGAAGTGAATTTTTATCCCCATTCAACTTAGAGTTATCGCGATTCGACTGTAATATATATTTACCTTAATGTTGTACATTTATAATTGTTTTAGAAAATATATTTTTCATTTTAGAAATAGGTAGATGCATAATAATAATAATATATACATAAATGTCGGAAAGTGTGTGAGAAAAAAAATATTAGTTACCTATATATATGATATTAAAACAAAGTAGGTAATGTATTTTAATTTTAAAGGTATTTAACATGGGGTGTGGGGCCAAAAATGGGTCTTGTTCATTTAAATATGTAGTAGGTATACGTAATACGTATGTCCAGATAATAACATATGGTCAAGGTGTAACTTGCAGCATTGATATGTTAAATAGGTATTTATACAAACCTACAAACCTTTACGAAATCCAAAGTACTAGTGGCTAGTACCTACGTTTATTTTTATAAACTGTCGCTGTAGCCTGTAGGTTAGTGTCTTGTTAATCCATAATAACATTAGGTCTATGGATATTATAGTTATTGTAATTTGTAAGTAGAATTTTTATTATAATGTAATATACTAATATAGTATATTAGTATGTTAATTTTATATCTGTTGTATATATATTGTTATAAAGTTCTCCAATAGTTACGATTAAACCGTAAAATATTGTCAGTATTATAACATATATAATATATGGTTATTATAATATAATAACCAGTTAAGATATTAGAAATAGCCTTTATATTTATTGCTAACCAGTAGTCAGAATTTAAAAAGTTGAAATTACTCAGAACGAAAGAAAATCCTACAAAATATATCCAATTAGTTGAAACCACTAACCGCCCTCAAAGTGGAAATTTGAAGCATTTTTACTGCTCCAAAACTCAATGGCAGACATAACTTTGAGTCAATACCTGCAGTCTACCACATGGAACAGTGTAAATACTAAATAGGTTCGGTGTATAATTTATAAATCAGGCGTCAACGGCGTCATTGAGAATATACCATGGTAGGGGGGATATCAAAATTAATATGCATTGCATTATTGCAAACTTGGGGGAGGGGTTTCACCTAACTTAACTCATCTCATCACTTATAAAAATATCTATTATCGCAGGCCTGCAGGCGTGGTGACTGAAAACAATTTTTTTTACTACGTGTAAGAATTATCAAAAAAAGTTTAACAAATTTGTTATAATTTTTTTAATTTTATAGTATTAGGTATATTTATCCAGATTCTTAAAATTCTTGGAAAGTTCATCAATGCCTTCTTTGCTTAAACATTTAACATCATTATGAATTGCCAACATTGCCAGACCTTTAAGTTTTTTATTATTCATTTCGTAATAATTTATAAATTTGCGTAATTGCATCTGAACTATTTGTAGGTATAAGACAATATATAAATACATCTTATGGAGGGGATTTATTACAAAAAACTATAAAAATCGGTTTTGTCGAAAATAGTTTTTGCGTAAAAACATTCTCGTTTTTCCTATTTTTTTTTTTGATTTTCTCAATTATTAAGAAAATTATTAGGAACTTTTAACCCAAAAGTGGTAACTAGATTCACTTTTCTACCAGAAAAGATGCTTAAGTTGAAAATTGAAGCATTTTTCTATTACCTATACAGATTATATACATCGTGTGTACAGTATACTTTATACACAAAAAAAACACACATATTTGTAAAATGTAAAATCAATACAGTCATCGCTCCGCTCAGAATCTAAAACGCATCATTATGAAACCAATACATTTACAGCCAAGATTTATAACATTAAATATAATATTATTTGAAAACACGATTCAAAATCATACACAATGCTTTGTCAAATGTGCTATACTGCTATGTGCATAATATCCACTAGACAAATTAAATAGGGACCTATTAACATAGTATTATGCATATTGTACAATATTTATTGTGCTAGTCGCACGGTAAATATGCGTTTGTTGGACACCCTGCGGTTTTATCAACGGCCAGTATCACGATATCGTCTAGGCGATTGTTAACGAACCCATAATCATTGTTGTGTCAAATGTCAAGTGAGTTCTGTTTACTGTTATTGTTGATTGGGACCAACCGACCGGAATTAATTGATTCAATATTTTAATAATTAGTTTTCTGTGGGACACCGGGACTTCGTGTGTGTCCAGCGATTAACTGGTTCCGACTTCGACTTTAATTATTGTACACTCACGGGAGAATGGCTTCGAATCTAAATATGAACGACAGTAGTGCCGCTATGGATGACAGTTCGAAGCGACGGAGGTAAGTCTATGGTGGTAAGATTTTGTTCTGGGTATAATGTATGTTTTTCTTTAGCTCGCGTTCGATAAAGCGGAGAAAATTTGATGACGAATTGGTCGAATCGAGTTTGGGTGCAGGTTTTGGGTCACCTTTGCCAAAAACTCAACGCACACGTACTCAGTCATTGAACATAACGTCTACGGGTTCGGGTTTGTTCATTTTTGTTACAGTTTTACACCATTTATAATAAGTTATCATTCGTTGCTTTGTATTGTAAAATTTATAGTATACTGATTCCAAATATTTAATTGTGTCATTTGAGTCGAGATATATTCAACTTATAGGTAACATGGTACTGTTTTGTGTTTTACCTACTCTTATACAGTTAAATGCCAAAAAAACAACACAATATAGGTGTATTAAGTGGTCTAATTATCTGTGGTTTTAATGTTCATTACTCTAATAATATTATTGTTACACATTCCTAGGTATTTAACTAATACTTAATATAATACCTATTTACTTGATAATTTTCTATATAATCTAGAAATTACTCTAGATTATATATCCAGCTCTTAGACAAGTATATGTCATCTTTATCATTATTAACATGGAAAAGTGGTCACTATCTGTTGATTTATATTTATTGTATATATTATAAGTAAAAATTATAAATTATATGGGTAAATGAATATTAACTAACTTTAAATACCTATATTTTATTTTATATAGAAATGGATAATGCCATGTCACCAGTTCATAGTGTTCCTGAAGCAGTTATTATTGCAAATACTACGCCATCTACTTCAACTACTCAACCACGGAAAGTTCCTCCAAATAGACCTCCTACAAGTACCAGTACATTAAATACTTTTGCTAATGCACCATCTACTTCAACTGTTTCAACATCATCAAATCGAAATAGATCGAGGAAGCAGAAGAATTTAAATAAAGATTTAGGACGTTGGAAACCTACAGATGATTTAATGTTGATACAAAGTGTTTTGCAGGTAACATTATCTTAAAAGATAAATAAATTATTTAGATAGGTAGTTATTACTAACTCTAAAATTTAATATTTTGTATCAATTTATAGACCAATAATTTACCAATTGTCCATAGAGGTGTTAAATTTAGTTGTCGATTTACACTTAAAGAAATTGCACAGAGGTGGTATGCTTTGTTGTACGATCCAACAATTTCTAGACTTGCTGTATCAGCGATGCGCAATTTACATCCAGAAAGTGTAGCTAATATAGAATCCAAAGCTCTATTTTCTATTGCTGAAGAAGAACTCTTGGCTACCATACAATCGGTATGTTCAGTATTTTTTTTTTTTTTATGTTAGGTGATTTATTGATTTATAATGTTTTATTAAGAATTCACAACCCACCATCGAAACCTTTCAAGATTTGCTCACCGAAAATCCAAACATATTCCATCGAAGACGCACAGCTAAAAGTCTTATGTGTCATTGGCAACAAATGAAACGATATTCTTTGCTATCAGATCAGTGTAGTAAGTAATCATTTAACCCGTCAGTGGTCGTGATGTGAGCACGGTGCTCACCTCTTTAGTATTTTGAGAGCCATTTGTTTATTTATTACTTGATTCATCTGATACTATTTATACCTTCAATCGACACATATTTAAGTATACTTTTGCAAATATAAAAATTTTATAAATAATTCTTGATTAGATATCGACATGCAATGTTGTTAATATCCGTAAATTCAGCGTTTCACTCACTCAATAGGTCAACCAAATACTTTTTCGTTAACTCAGACCTATTTTTAAGGAGCGCACAACATTTATATGCGTACTGTATAATAATCAGCAAAATATTCCTGACCACTAAGGCGAAGATGAATGATAATGATTATCTTATTAGTTATTATATAATTATGTATAAAAAATTATAAATTAATTTTTAGTGGTTAACAATTTATAATCGAGTAAAATTGTAAGAACATTTTTTGTTAAAGATTAAACTATAAATAATTCGTTGTTGGTTTCAATATTTTATGTTCATTATATAATAAGTAATGATGAAAAAACAACGAGGTGAGCGCAGCGCTCACTCAATACTAATGGTGGGACTTTGCATAGCGATACCAACGACGGGTTAAACAATATTTATTTATTAATTTACTTTATCAAATTCACATTACCACCGAACAATTATTTTTAAAACTACTAGAAAACATTTTTAGTTATATTTAAAAGCTGTGTAATAGATGTATTTAAAAAAATTTGTTTGGTGTGTGTCTTAATTAGTCTCTAACATTATAAGTTTTATAAATAAAACTTTTGGTAATAATAGTTATATCTTTGTGGTAGGATAATAAGTAAATACTAAATAGAATACTAAATAGTAATATATTAGACATTTAAAAGTAAAGTTGGAGTTCTGTAGAAATTCTGATCGCATTATTATGAAATGTTAATTGTATGTAAAGAGCATTTTTGTTTATTGTTGTATAGAATAATTACATTTTTACTATCTCTATCTACTTATAATAATTGGAGCATATTTTATTGTTGTATTATAGGTGCCTTAGAAAATCCCATACCAATACCATTGATGAGTGCACTAGAAGATCGAAATATTCATATTCTAAACAATGAACAAGAAGGTATATAATGTCTAATATATAATTTATTATAATAAGTACTTAGTACATGCACAATAATTATATATAATACAGTAGATTCCGCTTAATGTGATAGGTGCAGATCATTTTGATTCTGTTAACCAGATAATTTCACGAAACATTTTTAATTTTTTATATTTCTATATTTGTATGTAAACTTAAAATTAAATTAAGACAATATAATAAAAAAATACATTTAAAATAAGGATAAGAAACTATCAATTGTATTTTCAATTTTCATAATAACCTGAAATTAAAACCCATGTATGTAATCTTCCGTTTCTGTTTTTGGGAAAGAGGCAAATTGTTTTCTTCATTTACATCTAATTGCTAACGATTTTTAAAATTTTGTTTAATATGGTAGAGTTAATAAACTGTGGAGTTTTCAAAATTTGTCTCTGCGAGCATTTTTCAAAACTATCAAAGTAGTAAACTTTTTTTACTTTTCTAGATATTTCAGTTTGCTTGACGTAATGTAAGAAACATTTTTGAACAAGAACCAAAACAATTATACTAATCGCATCTGATACACTGATAAGTTTAAAAATAAAATGTATTTGTTTACATTATACCTATAGTCCGTCCGGAATAAGACTGTACCTGGGCGACAGACCAAAACAGGTTTGCCTCACGCAGGTCGGGCTTATGACTATAACTATATGTTTATAACTATGACCGCTTTGGAAACTGGTCATTTCCTGGGCATTCTTATTCTAGACAGAGTATATACCAGCTATTTTCTCCCCAACATGATCAGTTTGAAAAGCCATAAAATTGATGAAAATGTTTTAAAAGTGATTCATTTATCTGTTACATACTGATTCTAATTAAAGGTCAATTTTCATAGGTATTAACATACAATTTGGTTTGAGTAGATCGTTTTTGATTCCAATTAACGGTTGGTTCTATGCACCAGTAATCACATTAAGCCAAACCCACTTTATATATTATTTACATTTTCCAATAATTATAAAATTATTTTGTTTTTTTTTCAAGTAACCACATTAACTTCGGAGCATATTCCTACGTTTGCTGAGTGTGAAGACTTATTAAATGATCAACATTTATTGATGGAAAGACCTGATCCCGTACTTGAGAGACATCTCGCGTTAACTAACAAGTAATAAAATAAGAGCTCCATTTTCACACTAAAGTGTCTCCGCCAAGAGAATGCTACTAGGCTGAGACAAAAACTCATCCATTCCCGTGCATTCCCTTCACTGAACTAACCAAAACACTGCCCGAACAGAGAGAATTTACAGTAGCCAGTAAATATTTGTGGGAGAAATGTTGGTATAAAACTGAGGAGTCTGTTTATTAATTATTTGGATGCGTGAAGGAGTAGCGTTCTGTTGGCGGCCAGAACTATAGTTTAATACTTTTAAGTGGATAATTATTGACTATCATAATTCCTAGGTTATTTATTTCTATGCTGAATAAAAATATTACATATTATTCAGCATCGTTCCTTTTATTGTTTCAGAACATATCAATAAAATAATCTAAGACAATACTACTGAAATGAGAAAAATTTTGTTTGTTTCTTTAATAACTTAAGGGAACGCTCATTTGCATGTGTTGTCTCCTTCTTACAAATGTACAACATAGGAAAAACTTTTTTGCGCTGTAAAGAATCGAGTTGGCTACAGTCATAACTATGAAACGAGATTTTCACCACATAAAAAAGAGAATTTTGGCTGTGCAATGTTGTTTTTATTTTTTTTGGATATCACTTATACGAGTTATTCAAGTTTGAAAAACATGAACAATAAGAACTTTTTTAATTTTTTGGTATAAGTGATATCAAAAAAATAAAAATGAAATTACTATTACCTTCTCCTTTTTATGTGGGGAAAAAGTCGTTTCTTAGTTAAGACTGTAGCCTTCTCGATTCTTTCCCGCATAAAACAGAGTTTTACATTTGTAAGATGGGAACAACACATGCGGGCGGGTCCTCTTTCATTTATTTTCTTCTAGAAAACAATACTCTAAAGCTTCACTGTTGTTACTATTGTAATAAACTAATAACATAGGGACTAAATTTCATTTATTTTGATACATATATTATATTATTGAGTATTTGAATATTTTTTGCTTAAAACATACTACAATCTACTCTATTTACATATTCTATAATTTCCCAGGTATTATTCATTCTGCAACCGAAACAAAATCTATATAATGAATTATCATCAAAAAAGTAACTTATAATCCTAATATAAAATACAGAATGTAGCTTCTTGTAGATTTCTGTTAATGGAGGATGTGTTAAATATTTTGTTATTTAAATTTCTATAGGTAATTTAAAAGTTATACTTAATGGTGTGTACTTTTATAACTTTAATGTTTTCCAGGAACCTCTATATATTTCAACTTTTGAAAACTAACCCATCTAAATATGTAAAACTTTTCAAATTATTATGAATCTATAAAAATAAGTAATACTTTATAATTCTTTGTATAATTTTTGATATATTTCATTAATTTTACAGAAAAATAAAAAAGGAAATCAAAGTTTTGGAAGATGAATTACCTAGAGCACAAGTGTTAGTATTTCCAATGACTGGTATCAATCCCGTGGAGTTTGAACCTCAAACATTGGCTGTGTTACGTGGCCGATTGGTCAGATATTTAATGAGGTCTAGAGAGGTAAGTTAACTTTATATTTAAATGTTTGATAGGAGGATAGGTTGACCAAAGTTTTATATATTGCAGATTACCATTGGACGTTCATCAAAGTATCAACAAGTTGACGTTGATCTAAAACTTGAAGGACCTGCTTGGAAAATATCTAGACGGCAAGCAACCATACGTTTGCGCAATACTGGTGACTTTCTAATTGCTTGTGAAGGTAAAAAGTGTTTATATGTTGATGGAAAACCTTTGGCAGCCGGAAGTCGCTGCCGTCTCAATCATAATTCTGTCTTAGAGGTTTGTAAGCAATTTGAGAACAATTAATGGATATTTTTTTTAGGAACTATAATTTTAAAGAAATTACTATATAAACCCTAAAAGCAAAATTTAATCCGGTTTACAGCAATTATGTTCATATAATTTTTATTTCACAATCTTCTGAATTTTTTTGATTGCCTTATACCAAAAAACTTTTTAAGTAATGTTATATCAATATAATCATTTAGTTTCAGAATTATTTTAACAGATAATGTTTTGTACTCAGCATCTCAGCAAATACAGGTTTAATTATTTTTGTGAAACATTTCTAAATACACTCAAACATACTTTTAATTTAGTATTATAAAATATCAGAGGGGTTATTAAGATATTTTTTAATTTACATTTATATTTTTTTTATACCAATGAAAATCCTATCCTATTATAGTAATAGTATTTAATTTGTGTTTGATACATCCCATCTATTTTTAGATTGCCGGATTGAGATTTCTTTTTCTTATAAATCATCAATTAATAAATACATTTAAACAAGAAGCCTGCACACAAAACCAGGTGCAGTTACCTGTGCAAATAGTTAACCAGACACCGCAGAAACAGAATGCCAATCAAAAGTCACAGAAGACTACAGTTACAAAAGCTGAAAAACCTGTGCAGACCATTGAACAGCAGCAGCAACAGAAAAAACTATTCGAAGAACAGCAAAAACTGCAAATGGAAGATCAAGAGAAAAGAATATTAGAAGAGCAGAGACAAAAAATATTGCAGCAGCAACAAGAGGAACTAGAACAGCAACTGAAATTGTTAGAGGCTGAAGAAGAAGAACACAACCAACGTCAACAAAATTTGTTGTAAACTTTCCATTTAAGTTAATATTTATATTGAAAAAATTGTATTTATTAAAAAAAATATTTTTTTGTATAATTGAATAATAGATACTATGAAACTCCTGTGACATATATTACTGTACCTGGGATAATATTTACTTTTATATTTTGGTTTCATGTTAAACTAGTTGATTACAAAACTTTTGATATATTTGTGTTAGATATTCTTTCTCATTCACACAATTTTTAAATTGTATTAGGTATCAACAAATCGTTATTCAAATATTTTATAGTCAGTTGATGAATTGTGTTCATTTTACCAACCACTAAGTTTTTTTTTTGTAATCTTGCAGTAAATCAAATTGTAAAACTCGATATGTGCATTGAGTTTCAGAACACATGTGTACACTGTACATTTTTACTTCTATGCTTGAAGTAAGAAGTTGTTGTTGTGTGACAAAAATTAATTTTGGTTACAAACAACTAGTAAATTGTATTGGACATGTTGGGGACACTCATTATAGAAACAACAAATAAAAATCCAAATCCCCTATGGCAGTTAAGATAATATTACTTGATAATAAACACTAAAATTATTGCAATATTTCACAAATATGTTAAAATAATGCAGTTTAGATCGATTTTCGGAATTTTTTCTCGGGAACTTGTAGGTATATTTCAACGAGTTAGGTAAGCATAATGGTGCAATCTGAATTTGTTACAACTTAGTTCCAAGGTTATAACATTTAAAAGTTCGGGATTCTGCGTACATTATGCATATCAGATTATTCCACGAATCTACGTAGATAAAGTACATTTTAAAACTTTATTAAATAGTGAGTAATTAATAATTATTTATTTTAATGTATTCATACATTTATACATGTACCTACTTACAGTTTACAGATAACAGATCACAATGGTTGGACTTTTAGGATATAATCATATAAACCAAAATTTTTATTTTTTGGTGGGTTGCGGGGGGGGGGAGGAAATGTTTCAATCCCTTCTCCCCCACAAACATGACCAAATTACGACACTGCAATAACACACAATTGGAACTGCTGATTGGTGAAATCAAATTAACTATGTTGTTCATATGTGTAAGACAAACGTCATGTGTGACGTCCGTCGACCGTTGTCCTCTCAATATTAAAGATAGATTTTTGTTTATGGGTCACTCCTACTGTTATTTAAAAAGATAATGGACGAATAATTGTAATAATTTTGAGCATACTTTGGATAAAACCTATACTTAATAAATGTGTGTATAATATTGTAATAACTATTTTTGCCAATATGCTAGTATGAAATAAATCTGAACTAATTAGGTCGTGGTGACGTAGTTCCCTGTCGGTTTATGAAATGGATTCGTATAACTACGGGCTACGGCATATTGTTTATATCCTTCACTTGAAATTTAATAAATTATGTATAAAAATGGTACAAAGACTAAACTAGTACCTACCTACCTACCTAAGTGTATTATGTGAGTAGCTATGTTAAGTTCACTGTGTATTTACCTAGATACTATTACTATAAATTATATTACAGTGTGGTATTTTAGTATTTACTGTTTAGTCCATAGCGTACTATTAATTGTGCAAAATTTGAACTCTGCTTGGCATCGTCTAATCTGAAACTCACATTTTTTAGCAAAATATCGGTTAACGAAGGTCGAAGGTAAATTTGTATAATATATTTAATATTATTAATGCATATATTATATATATATTTTAAAGTAGGTAATTAACCCGGTGTTACAGTTAGAAATTTTCAGTAATTTACAAAATATATCAATGTATATTATAGTATAAATATGCTTATATGAGTTATGAATAGTACTAGGTACCTACATTAAAAGTAAAAATAGGGTGACACAGTATTACTAGTTATGTTATTGTGACCTCTATTTACAGTATTAGTACAGGTGCAACAGTGTTAATAGAGTAGGTAGGTATATTATAGACGAACTATTTTAGTAGAACTACAGCAGGCAGCCATTCCGCAACTTGCAATATGTTAGGTAGGTATTCATTTATCATACAATATGTTTTATACTTCTACTATTATAGTACTATGTCCGACGTACTATATATTCTGCGTCGCAGATGTATCAGTATATCACGTTTCCAAGAAAAGTATACCTTTTTTCCCACCATGAGACTTTTAATTTGTGATTTTATTCTAAGATAACTTAAAAACATAGAAAAAAATGATTCTGAGTTAATGCGATTTGTCTATGTTGCGCGTGGGCCAGATAGAAAACAAATAGTGCACTGACAATAAAATTGACATCCTCTTAATAGTCCCAACAATTTTACACTATTTAAAATCAATGATACATATTTGTATATAAACACCATAGATAGCTATTAAACTCGTATATAATGTCATTATTTTAATATTTTTGTTGAGGACGTCTCAAGATTGGAAACAAAAATCAGTTTCCTGATTTGAAAAAAAAAAAATGTTTATTTCCTATTTCTATTTACTCTAAACGAATAATAATAATATTAAAAGGTACGAAATCAGGAGGCCCAATTACCATAATTAAGCCAGGGCCCCTTCCACAATTGCGGACTAGTGGTCCGGGCCAGTCCGACTCTGCAGTCTCAGCTACTCATGTTGGAAGCCCACGCATGATGCATTCAATCGCGAATTGCAACGGGAGTAAGACTATGATCGAGATGAGCTGGCTGAAAGAATCGAACAAATGTGCAGAAAAAAAGAGCCAAACGCCATCTTCCTCTTTTGTTTAACATAATCAGTAATCACAAATCAGTGGACAACTATACCAATAATTATACCACAAAATAAGTTTCACCATAAATATTTAGTGGTATCTAATAAATGATTGGTAGGTATAGTTTTCCACTGATTTGTGATTATGTTAAACAAAAGAGGAAGATGGTGTGTGGCTCTTTTGCTCATAATTAAAACATCCTGCAACAAGTAAAATTTGGTGCTTCTAACTCAGTACCAACGACCGTATGAACAGCATAAACTTCATCTAAATATTTTCTACCTACCAACATAATATATTTTGAAAAAATAAGAAAATCAAATATAACAAACACTGAGCCCCAAATTTATATACAGGGTGATTTTTTTATCGAAGAACACTCATTATTTCAAAAAGTATTAATGTTTAAGAAAATATTTTTTTACATAGTTTCAAGTTGTTAAAAAACAATATTTTTATTAAAAAATTATATTTTTAAATATTTTTTATCCTTTTAATTTTTTAAGTTTTTTACTTTTTTGAATGACAACATCTAATTTTAATTTGATATTCAAAAACAGAATATTTTTCTGATTATTTTAATACATAAAAATTGAATTTAGGGCAAGTAGTTTATGAGTTATAAGTATTTAAAGTTTAGATGAGCGGAGTAGAGGACAAACATTTCGCGGGGTAACCCCGTACCACTCTACTCCGCTCATCTAAACTTTAAATACTTATAACTCATAAACTAATTGCCCTAAATTCAATTTTTATGTATCGAAATACTCAGAAAAATATTCTGTTTTTGAATATCAAATTAAAATTAGATGTTGTCATTCAAAAAAGTAAAAAACTTAAAAATTAAAAGGATAAAAAATATTTAAAAATATAATTTTTTAATAAAAATATTGTTTTTTAACAACTTGAAACTATGTAAAAAAATATTTTCTTAAACATTAATACTTTTTGAAATAATGAGTGTTCTTCGATAAAAAATCACCCTGTATATTAGATATTCATATCTAGGTACTTGATATGCCGTTGCACAATGTCTGAGATCCGACGTAGTCGGATTGCCTACAATGGTGACTAAATTACACTTACTGCTGAGAGTTACATCCAAAAGGATTTGAACAATCACAATTTTTTAAAGGGTTGCAATTTTTAAAGAGCAACAAAGCACACAGGGGTCAGCAATGTCAGCTGCTAGTATAGGTACTAAATAATAATATATTGTTTGATATAATATACTTATTTTATATTTATAATCAGGGCTTGAATGTTGAAACCGAAAATATTTTTTCCGATTACCATTTCGTTTTAGTTATCGGTATTTATTTTTCCCGATTTTTATTTTTGTTTTGATTACTGGTATTGATTTTTTTCAATTTTGTTTACGATTTTGGTATCAATTTTGGTTTCTCACGGTAGGTATTAAGAATCGTTATCCAAAAAAATAAATTCCTAACAAATATAATATTGTTTTAACTCAATATTAATATTAATATAATAGCGGATTCGCAAAAGTATGTCGAGACTGCGAGAATCGGAAGTCGGTACCTACAAGATAAAAACCTATAATCAACGGCTCATAACAGACTCATATTAGGCTCATATTATAACTATTTAATAATATTATATCATGCATAATATATACAGTAAAAATCGATAAACCGTCTCTTTCTGTCATCCGTCATCGCATTGAACTATTGAAGTAATGATGGCATGCGGCGACATTCTAGAGTCAATATCCAAAATATGCGATAATCGCTCTTCGAAGAAACACTCAACAGACGATGATTACCGATTATCTTGTATCGTATATAATGTGTGTGTTTGATGTCTGTACAACTGTTGACAACAGTCTGCAAGCCTGGATTAAGGGAGGCCAAGGGGTGCACAGTCCATTTTTGTATCCCCAAAATATATTTTTTAACGGGTCCAATATAGTTTTCAAAAACAAAAAAAATATTTTAGTAGGTATAGGTATAGTAGGTAAATTATAAAAAAAATTGTTCTTAAATTTATATCAAGAAAAATTACTATAAATAATGAACTGTTTGCCAACAATTTTTGTTTTTTATTTTGAGCATTTTAGATTACCTACTGATTTAACTATTTAAGAATATAAAAAGGTGGGTAAGTGGATGTCGCTCTGCTGTACAGTAGGTTACAAGTGGGTCACTGTATAATGGATGCTATTAAATTTGAATCCAATGATACAATATCATTGTATAAGAAAAACGATTCTGAGCGAAGACGGTATGTCAGTCTAGGTTTAAGACAAATTATATACATAT